GCTTCAGGCCACCGAGAACAAACGCAAAGAGAAGAGACGGCAGAAGGTTCCTCCATCTGTTTATCTGTTTCATGTCACGTCTTAAATGTCTGGAAACAGAAATGTGGGAATTATATTAAAAACATTTTTTATGTCCAGGAACAGAAACATGTGGAGGAGTCTTCAGGACGGGAGGTGAAGAAGGTGAGTTATTTATTCTCTTGTTTCTGTTATATTTTTCTTCATTATAAGACTCAAGTCATCTGATTGGCTCATAGCCGTGATATAATCCACACGTACCACGATATACTGCTGTGACTTCTGATAGCCAACGTTGACCACAATATGAAGCAGAAACTCGACAACCATTCACTCCAGCACCGACTCACAAACATCTCCAGAGGAAGAGGAGCAACATCCTCATCTTGTCAAGCAGCAGACCTCCACCTGACAGATCAACACCAATAAAGACCAGTCTAGAACAGCTGGATGTTTAATACTGTAAACAAAGAGACGAATATCGGAAATAAAGAGATAAATACTGCAATCTATATAATGCTAGCCTGTTCTAAAAAAAGAAACATGCACATATATATACATATACGTATATACATATAGACTGTATATATATACACATATATATACTGTATATATATATATATATAGGGGGATAAAGGCCATAGAGGTGAACTGCTATCTGAGATTTAATCACCTTTAGTGATTGATTTCTCTCTATTCGTCTGTTTTTAGGGTCAATCTTGTGTTGAATGTTGTTGTTTTTCTTGAAGGTCCGTAAAGCTCGGAACCGACGTCAGGAGTGGAACCTGATGGCGTACGACAAGGAGCTCCGCCCAGACGCCCGATTGACGCCATCACCTTACCACACCTCCGACGGCTCCATGTCACCGGACAGGTAAACACACCTGTCCTCACTCACATTACATCGTCTGTCCCAACCAGGAGTCGTCTGTCCAGTGACACTTTGGCCCCGCCCCCTCCAGGTCAGACGACCTGTCCTTCCACTCCAGTCCCCACCCCCACGAGGCCCAGATGCATGATGGGAAGGATCAGGTGAGCGGTGGAAGTGGTCAGACCCAGTCGTTGGACCGCGCCCTCCGACCTGCCTCTGTGGTTGCCACGGCAGCCGCCCGCCAGCACTCACTAGGACGCAACCATCATCATCATCATCATCACCACCCGCCTCTGATAGCAGGCTCAGCCAATCAGAACGGAGCACGGACCAACGATGCCATGGAGGCCAAGTACACACACACATACACACACACACACACACACACACACACACACTCACACACACTCACACACACACACACATATACACACTCTCACACACACACAGACACACACTCACTCACACACTCACTCACTCACATAAAAACACCTCTCGTCTCTCTTCAGTGACCATCAGATCCCCCCGCCCCCCCCCCGCCCCCCCCCCTTCTAATGCCGTCAGCGGATCAGGTGACGTTCCCCAACAGCTCCACCCACACCGCTGCCATGGCAACCCCGCCTGGTAACCAAGGTAACCACCAACCTCTTTTTTTGTTGCTTGTGTTTTCGGCTCATTGTCCATTACTAACTCCTCCCCCTCAAGGTGTTATATTATATATATTACTAACTCCTCCCCCTCCAGATGTTATATTATATATATATTACTAACTCCTCCCCCTCAAGGTGTTATATTATATATATTACTAACTCCTCCCCCTCAAGGTGTTATATTATATATATTACTAACTCCTCCCCCTCCAGGTGTTATATTATATATATTACTAACTCCTCCCCCTCAAGGTGTTATATTATATATATTACTAACTCCTCCCCCTCCAGGTGTTATATTATATATATTACTAACTCCTCCCCCTCCAGGTGTTATATTATATATATTACTAACTCCTCCCCTCCAGGTGTTATATTATATATATTACTAACTCCTCCCCCTCCAGGTGTGTTCTCTCAACCCTACAGCCCCTCCCCTCCCCCCCCCCCCCCAGCCAACTACAGCCCCTCCCCCTCCCGACCCGGAGGCCAGGCTCCGCCCTCTTCCGCTGTTGCTCCACCCCCGTTCGCCCTGGCCACAGACAGCAGGAAGCCTCCCGGTGGTCCGAACACGCCGGTGAACGACGCCCGCAGCGACCTGCTGGCTGCCATACGCAGAGGTGAGCACCCATCTCACTGTCAGGTTAGTCCGACACGTGGTGTGACCCGGTTCACTGAGGGTTCTGTTCTCTCCTGGTCTACAGGGATCCAGCTGAGGAAGGTTCAGGAGCAGCGAGAGCAAGAAGAGGCCAAGAAACGAGAACCAACAGGAAATGATGTCGCCACCATTCTGTCACGACGCATCGCTGTAGAGTACAGCGAGTCAGAGGAGGACTCAGAACCAGAGGACCAGGACTGGTCCGACTGAGGAGGATCAGAACCAGAGGACCAGGCCTGGTCTGACTGAGGAGGATCAGAACCAGAGGACCGGGAATAAGGAGACTGACCCCAGACCAGAGTTAGAACCTGAAACTGACAGAGGAAGTAAAACACCAATAAAACCACTGGATAATATCTAGATAAAGAAAAACTAGCTGATAATGCTACTTAACTGTCACACATACACACACACACACACACACACACACACTCACACACACACACACACACACACACACACACTCTTACACACTCACACACACACACACACTCACACACTCACATATGTTGTATATATATACAGCATATATATGTATATATATATATACATATATATATGTGTATATATAACTTCTACATATCTGGACGTACATAACTGCTCTGAAGAGATTAAACAATGTTTGTTGTCTTATTTAATTTGTTCTAATTGAACCTCACAGGTCCTGTTCTGGTTCTCCAGAGGATGAACCTGTTACATTGTAACGACTCTTCTCTCTTCAGGACGATGAGTACTTCCTGTCTGAAGGTTTTTAACTTCCTGTTTTGTTTTTGTTTACAGTTGGATGTTTAATTATGGTAATATTTCCTTTATGTTCAGGCATTGATTGATTGATTGATTATATCGTTCAGGTTATTTTATTGTGATTGTGATCGTGTCCTTTATTGGTCTGAATCCTTCGTTGCCATGGTAACCAGAGGAGCGCTATAACTTCAACATTATTATTATTCTGATTATTGTTTTTGTGTGACATTGTGTGTGATGTCATGACATCATCTGTAAATGAAGAAAAAACGTCTGTGATTGGTTGTAGAGACGTATTGATTTATTGATTTATTGATATTTTCTGATGTGATTTTGCATGTTGGTGGAAAAAATATATTAATTATTAAATAAAAAAGGTGAAAGAAGTCTGTCTTCAAAAGAGAAAACTTTATTGACAAAATATTTATTTTTCTCAAAAGTTTTATTTATTTTTTGTAGTTAAAATTACAACTTTATGAAATTCATAGTCCATCCATCCATTTTCCTCCTCTTATCCGGGGTCGGGTCGCGATGGCAGCAGGCCCAGCAGGCTGACCCAGACTTCCCTCTCCCCCCACAACATGTTCCAGCTCATTCTGGGGGATCCTGAGGCCAGCTGGGAGATGTAATCCCTCGTGTCCTGGGTCTCCTCCCAGTTGGACGTCCCCGGAAAACCTCCAGTGGGAGGCGTCCAGGAGGCATCCTGATGTCTGATCTCTAAGGCTGAGCCCGGCCACCCTACGTAGGAAACTCATTTAGGCCGCTTGTAGCCGCGACCTCGCTCTTTCAGTCACGACCCAGAGTTCATGACCATAGGTGAGGGTAGGAACGTAGACCGACCCTCACCAAGATGGTCCAGTGCAGCGCCTGCTTTACTGCTGCAGCCGCACCGATCCTCCTGTCGATCTCCCGCTCCATCTCACTCGTGAACAAGACCCCGAGATACTTGAACTCCTTCGCTTGAGGTAGGCAATCCATCCCCACCTGGAGGGAGCAATCCACCGGTTTCCGGCAGAGAACCATGGCCTCAGATTTGGGGGTGCTAACTCTCATCCCCGCCGCTTCACACTCGGCTGCAAACCGCCCCAGTGAATGCTGGAGGTCACGATCCGAGGAGGCTAACAGGACCACATCATCTGCAAACAGCAGAGAGGCGATCCCGAGACCCCCGAACCTGACGTCATCCCCCCGGCTGCGCCTAGATATCCTGTCCGTGAAAGTCACGAACAGTAGACCAGTAGACCAGTAGACCAGCACCTCAAGTTCATGGCTCCATCCATCTGGACCAGCATGTTGATGCTGTTCCTGGAGAGCCTGAAGGCTGGTTTCAAGTCAGCGTTAGAACAGAACATGGCACGGATCGGGCCATGGTGCTTGATTTGTGCATATCTTTGAAACAGACTTTGAATTGTAATAATAATAAATGATTATTTCTAAATATGAATAGTCTGATAAGAACTGTTGAAGTCTACTAGAATGAAATGTCCCTCTAATCTCTCCCCTGTGTGCTCAGGTGCTTGCTGCTTGAGAAGGTTTCTATTTCTTTTATTGCTCGACAGGCGGTGTAACAACATACAGCTATCTTATCAGAGTCCAGAAGTCACTGTAGCCTCCATGATCTCTGTATCACAGACATGAAATGTGCTGTTGTGTTGAAGTCTGTCCTGGTTAATGAATAATGTACGAGACACACGTAAGGTTCAGGTACTTCTTACATTTAATGTACAGTGATGTTTGTGTGTCTGACTGTACGTGGACGATCACACTGATCATCTACCTCTTGATGTTTGAGTAGAAGAAGACAAACGGTAGGTGTGTATGTGGAATGTAGGCTCATTTAAATATTAACGGATTTATTGCTGTTACTGTATCAAACCTCCCCTGTACCTTATCTGACCTCTATAAAGATAATACGTTGTACTGTGATATAACAGCCCTGCAGTAAATGTTAAGCTCAGCAAGGTTACAGTTTCTTCCATCCAACATGAATAAACATGAGAAGCAGCTTCAGTATAACTCAGTGAAGCTCAACAGCACCACAAACTACAGCTGAGCAGCTCAGGTGTTCAGCTTCCTCTTCAGCTTCTTCATGAAGATCAACGACCGTTACAGCAATCCATGATATATAATGCTGATCCACATATATCATGAGTTTACTCTGGTTCTTCTCTGTGAAGAACTTTTACAATCAAACCAAATATGAGAAATATATATAAGAACTCTGACTGACAGACCTTTTGTAACCTTTGGTTTACTGGCATCACATTTAATGTTCTCTTATGTCAGATTTTATCATCACCAGGAAACAAAGTTTGACTTTAATCTGCGCTGATTCACTGCTGATTATTCTCTGAATGACTGACACACCTTCTGTTTACTGGCAGCACTACAGCACAGAATGGGTTTCTGCTCTCACGTCTTCCTCACAAGTCCTGACTTGGATTTGAAGGTGTGAGGACGCGATGGCTGCGTCTCTCGTTGTCTGCAGACGAAGGTAAAAAGTCTCTTTGACCTCATCTGGACGAGACTTTAACAGGTGAGTGACTTTAACAGGTATCTTTAGACTCTCTGATGAAGGAGCTCTGCTGACATTTGTTACACAATAAACTTGTAGATGAGAGCAGTGATCACTTCTTTCAGCACTGATGTTTACTCTTTGTACCTGAATTAATTCACTCATATTCTGTCATATGTAACTTTATGGCCAAAGTCTTTTCAGCCTTTGAGTCTTTTCATGTTCAGTTGAGTCAGATTTGATCATCACCAGGAAACACGTTTGATTTTAATCTGCGCTGACTCACTGCTGAAATATGTGCACATGTCCGTCTACCGTTTATTCGGACTGATCAGAACTACACACAAGAACAGCTGTTTGTTGTCTTTAACTGGAGACAAATTCAGGAAAATTCATGTTTTGATGTCAGAGACTTTAGGAGGCGGGGCTTATGTTGTATTCACTGTGTTTGATTTGTCAGGTTGGTGTGAAGACAAAAAACAGTTTTTTATTAGCAGGTGTGTGTAACAAACTTCATCTCCTCAAAAGTGGACACACTTCCTCAACAACTACAGACTGAATCAATATGATCTAATGGGTAATAATCTACTCCAATTACCAGCTGCATATGCCCACTATAAAAGTAGCGTCAGCATAGCTGACCAATCAGGAAGTGCAGAGCGGAGAACATGCAGACTGCACAGTGGGCTTAGGAGTGACAGGACCCTCTGGTAGAGGCTCAGCCTGTGCTCATAGAACTAGGGTTACAATATCGTAACCTTCAGTCTGACTCCCACAGGCTCCGCCCTCTATTGGACTCTATGGGTAGAGTGGGTGGAGCCCAATGAACACACGCCCAGAAGTTAAGCTTAATTCACACTCGCTGTAGTGAAGCCGGCACCAGAAAGTGACGTAATTACGGCCTGGCGTCGTGCGTGGAGGGTCTTTAAGTGGTCACGTGACTTGGTCGTGCACCTCTGAATATATTCATCACAGTCACGTGACTGTCACAAATAGTTCACTGATTAAAACACTATTTCCATGTCTGAGGATTTTACAAAGAAGGTCAATTCATTTTTAGAAGCTTTAGAAACAGGAAGTGTTAAACATCTACATGTGAATAAATATATTTATCAGCTAAATCAAATAGTTTAATAGTAGATGTTCAACCTTTGTTTCTTTATTATACATTTAATAGTTATTTCTTCTCAGGGTTTGTATAATGTTAGGTTCAAGAACCTCTCTCAACTGTGGGGGAAACCGCACGTGGTCCAGCCTTGCCAAAAAGTCAGCCGGTTTCAATTATAATCAAAAGTATTTAATACTACAGAAGCTAAAACAATTGCAAAGTGAAGTACACTATTTACACTATCTATAGATATATATTTACAGCATCGATATAGAAATATGATCCGCGCAGAAAAGCATTCACCCTGAAAGCCTAACAACCCACAAAATGAAACGTGAGCAAAGAGGACGAATTCCTCCTCAGCATTTCCTTTCATAGTTCGAAAAAGTCACCAAATGTCCGTCTTAGTTTCTATTGGCTAAATCCAGCTGGCTCCTCCTTCTCGCATCAGCCAACCAGAAGACCCCCCTTGGCGCGGTGGTGGAGCTCCTTCTGCGTGTCTCTGTAAATGCCTGTCTGGAAATCCCTTGGCTATTCTTCACAGCTTAATACATTCAATGACTGTCTTTTATGGCTTAACACTTCTATGGTAAACATACTGTAAACATACTTTACACTCAATAAGGATTTGCAACTCTTGGCAAAAACTTCACAAGCTTTACAAGTATATTTGGTATAACCCAAGTACTTGCTAACATTTTACTACCCACCTCTAAGGTGCTACAAATTCTACTAAGAAACACTTCTAACTATAAATCCTAAAACACACTTCTAATTATAAATCTTAAAGCACACTTCTAAACCTAAATTTCCTACAATAAAGGTGATGAAATAGTCCATGATTATGAGTTTATAGTTCATTACAATCCCTCCTCTTCACTATGGAGGTTGGTTTATGAAGTTTTGCTGGTTTCACTCGTTGTCTTTTTGATTCTTCACAGTTCATTTTGTTTGTTGGTCCTCTGGTGTTTCAGAGAATAATGCAACAAACATCACGTTGAGCATAAATGTCTTCATGTATTCTCAGAGCTCACGCACCATCTGTGGAGGCTCACGCTCCGGTGCCAAGAGCGAGTAGAAAGGCTTTAGTGTCCACAGCCCACCTACTTCTTTATAGCCCAGGTGGCCACAGCGGAGAAGCGTTGGAACACAACGTTAGATTTATGCAGCAAAATCACTTTGACAGTTTTATGAAAAACATCATGGTTGGGTTTTAAAAAAGTACCTGAAGTTAAATAAGTTAACAGGTCACTAATTTAGGGCGACTGTGGCTCAGTGGTAGAGCAGGGACGACCTTAGATCGGTGGTTCGATACCCGGCTCCGCTAGTCCATGTTGATGTGTCCTTGGACTCTCAACCCCAAATATCTCCCGTAGCTGTGCCCACGGTGTATGAATGTTAGATAGTCCTGATGGGACCTATCAGTGTGTGAATGGGTGTGAATGAGTGAATGATGACATGTAGTGTTAAATCACTTTGAGTGGTCGGAGGACTAGAACAGACTATACGAGTACAGTCCATTTACCATCTACTCAAGAACACTGGTCTTGAACACCAGTCCCCTGTTTGAAAGTCCTGTGTTTGTTTGACCCATTCTCCTCCCATCACTGTATAAAGTACATCACTAGCTGTGAGCGATCACATGGATGTGTTTAACTTCCTGTTTCCACAAAAACAAAGACTCCTACTAGACTTTCCATTGTTTCTGTGGTTCCAACACAGTTTTTCCTTCAGGTGACGAAACAGCCAGATTCTAACAGGGAGCCACGATGACGTCAGTGGACCTTTTGAGCACTCTGAAGGATTTAAAAGAAGATGAATTTAAGGAATTCACCTGGTATCTGCAGCAGCATGACTTCATGAAACCTTACCCAGCTATCAAAGGGGCAAAGCTGGAGAAGCCAAATAAGCCGGACACTGTGGATCTGATGGTGAAGACCTTTGAACTTCATGGAGCTCTAGAGGTCACCAGGAAGGTTTTACAGAAGATACCCAGGAATGATCTACTGCAGAGTCTGCCAAACACCAGCTCAGGACCAGAAGGTCAGTCACACTTCAGTCATTTGTACTTTCATGCAGTGAGTTAAAATGGGAAACACAGTACTTGTAATGGAACAGGGTCTTAATCATGAGAAAAGGCTCAGGTGATGTATCTTTATTATTGGACAGATTGTGCTGATGCTACCTGATTCAGTCATCTTTTATTTACTCCTTGGTTTGAGACACTGAGATACTAATGTACTGTGATCAACGTATCCTCATACAATGGTACAAGTTCTGCTCATTACATGAATACAGTAATACAGAAAGTACTTAGTTTAGGAAAAGATCATGAACGACTTTTAAGGAAAATGTGTTGAAATACTTCGTTAGGTATTCAAAGTACAGTAAAGAATGCAGGTTACGTAACTTATAAAACGCTGACTTCTCACTTCAGAGGAGGAACAAACAGCGGTCTGCTGGGTCAAAGGTCGCTGTTTGTTGGACCCATCCACCTTTCACCCTGTGTGGGCTTTTGTGGTCTTTATACTTCCTCGTTCATGATTACGTAGATAACATACGAAGTGATTTTGTGGGATATCTCTGAATTATGGCGCATTCTTTTTCATAGGAATAGCCGAGTTACTATCCAGTGAGATGAAATGCTGCTGTTATGCACATGAGGTTGATGCGTTGATGGAGATTGAACAGAGCGGTAGTATCCTGCACGTTATTGACGGAGAGTTTATGTATTGGGGTCAGGGTTAAATTCAGTTCCCTAAAAGAAAATGACCAACAGGATGTTCAGGCGGGAGGACCTCCATGACAGTTTGAAGCAAACTTTTGTAAGTGGAGGTTTGACTTAGCGAGTGACGCCTGCGTTCATTGGAACAGGTCGACTGCCGCAGCTTCAGATAATACGGATACCAAGCCATGGTCAACATAAAAGAGCCTTTCCACAAACTCTAAAGTATCGGCCTCGTGCTCCTGAGCACCTTCTCTGATGGCTCTTTGCAGCCTGTTGATAGCCACAGCAGGAGATGGCCCATTGCCAAAAAGCGACGACCTTCCTCCGGTACTCAACAACTTCCTTGTTGATGTTGTTGTACTTGTGCCATTAAAAACAGAAACAGTTGTAAAAAGACAACAAGGAGGGAGTTGTTGAGGTCAGGACCTGTAAAGAGGCATTGAGGGAGACACCAAAGTCATGGCAGCTTGATTCAAAGATCTGATTTGGTTTTGTGCGAGCTGGAACCCAAACGTTGGGAGATACCAGCACTCCTCATCTTCTCTCAGTGGTGGTGCTACTTCCTCACGTCCGTTGGCAAAGATCTTCTCCATGAATGCTACATACTGTTCCTGCATCTCACATTTCTGTTTTACTTAAGGCTCATCGTAGAGATGCAAAGCATTGGACTACCTGCACTTAGTTGTTCTGCAAAGACTGGCGTGGCTCTTTAAATGACAGTGTTAACCCAACTGTTAAGGTGGTCTCTGTAGACGTTTGGGTCCTTTATCTCAAAGAAGACGATGTCGTCACTGACGGAGCCAGGTTGTTGTCACGCTCAGTTAGTAGCAGGAGTAGTTCAGCTTCTGGGGTCCAGTTCTGGGATGGGCCTGGCAATGTGATGGAGATGTGGCTGATGTAGGCTGGTGCTTGGTGTTTAGTTAGTGTTCAATTAGTGGTGAGAGAGAGGTGAGAACTCTGCAGTCCAGTGACTCGATCTGGAATCCTTCTGTCTTCTTGCCAGATGTTTCTACGATGCCAAAGAAAGTTCTGAGGTAGTATGAGAATGGTTTGCTCTCCAGTCTGACCAGTGTGAAGAGCTCTGGTCCAGCTAATGAGAGCTCTCATCATCCAGAATTACAAAGGCTTTGACAGCCAAGCTCTTGAAACTCTTGGGGTATATTTCTGAGGGGCAGATCTTTGAGCATGAGCAAGTCCACTGACCTGGACCAGAAACTTCTGTGCAGCTTGTTCTAACAACAGCCACGTTGAAATGATGTTCTCCCTCGCCGCCATTCTCTTGTAACGGTGAAGGAGCCTTGATGGACCAGGATGCATGGCTGCATCATGAAAGGTGCTGTCACATTCAGAGCACTTCACAGAGGACTTGCAGTCTTTGGCGAGGTGGGAGATTGACGAACAGCATCTGAAACATGTCCCTTTCTCCTTGAGGAAGGCTTTCCTGTCGTCGAAGAGTTGTTTTATCAATGTTGTGTATTGTTTTGAGTAGATGGGACTTTTTGTGTGATGGGAGGTTGTTGCCACACTTGTCATTGGTTGCACTGACTGGGTGCACTCATGTGGGTTTGTTGGTGATATTTTGGATTTATATCTTTAGGCTGGAGCATGCTGACGTGCTGCGGTAGGCGTGTTCTCTCACTTCCGGGTCACTTCTATTTTTCTGGTAGCGTACTTTAGCTGCTTTAGCTTATCCAAGTAAATTATGTCATATTCTTCATTACAGAAGCTAATTATCCGTTTTACATTTAAACTTTTGTTAGTTCTGCTGAAGCACTCAAATCTCTCTCCCTCTTCTGGCGACTTCTTGCTAAATCCGAGACTACATGTTGTCCAGTACTGCTAACGTTAGCTACAGTACTTTAGCTTAGCAATTAGCAGTCACTCTTTCTCTCTCTCTCTCTCGGCATGTCACATGTTCAGCTATTCCTCTGCCTCCTTTAGGTATAATGGTACATGTTATAAGTGAAGTGTGTTTGCTGTATTTGAGGCGAGGCTGAGTGAATTAGAAGCACAGCTCTGCACCATGGAAGCTCAGTCGTTAGCTACTAAAGTTAGCCCACCGTAAACCAGTTTACTACGGTTCCTTTAATGCCAATCAAAGGTTCTAGTCTCTGTAACAGGATGTAATTATCAATGGTGTTGAACGCAGCTTTAAGGTCTAACAAGACCAAAACAGAGACAAGTCCTTTATCTGATCAATCAGAAGGTCATCAGTTATTTCACCAGAGCTGTCTCTGTGCTATGATGCTTTCTAAATCATGACTGAAAATCCTCAAATAAACTATCGTCATGTAGAAAGTCACACAACTGATTCACAACTGCTTTCTCAAGGATCTTAGAGAGGAAGGGAAGGTTAGAGATCGGTCTATAGTTCTACACCTCTGGATGGAGAGTGGGCTTCTTAAGAAGAGCTTTGATTACAGCTACTCTGAAGGACTGTGGTACATGGCCTGTTAGTAAAGACAGCTTGATCAGATCTAGTAAAGATGTGCTGAGTTTGAAAGAGAACTGAACAAGAAAAGAAGCTCACGGACCAATCAGGAAACAGTCCAGTACATGAAGGAGAAGAACAGAGAGAATGTGTCTCCAGAGAAAAGCATCAATCTGTTCCACTGTCTGAATGAACTGAATGATGGTTCTCTAGTGGAGCAGATCCAACAGTCCCTGAGTTCAGGACATCTCTCCACTGATGAACTGTCTCCTGCTCAGTGTTCAGCTCTGATCTTCATCTCATTGTCATCAGGAAAACATCTGGACGTGTTGGACCAGAAGAACCGGAGGCTGGTGCCAGCGGGCAAAGCCTCCAACAAAGCTCTGTAAGTACCCAGATAACTGCCTTTAAAGCTTTATCACATGAGCAGAGGAGTTCAGCTCATGAAAGTCTTCTGTTGACAGATTTAATAAACAAATTGATTAGTTGATCAATTGAAAAACATGCAAATTATTTCTTCAGTTTCATTGCATCTCCACAGATTAATGCAGTTTTGAAGTTAAAAGGAATTCACTTTGTTGTTCATTTAAGACTAAAAGTTATTAGAGATTAGGATCCATTAATCACGGTTATGTTCCAGTGATACACACAATAAAAGACTCTAATCCTCCATTGTTCAATTAATGAACTCAGAAATGTTGTATTTTACATTGAAGAAGAAGAAAGATCAGTATTGTGTTTGTCTTCATCACTAACTCTCCTTCAGGCTGAGTGGCTGTAATCTGTCAGAGAGAAGCTGTGGAGCTCTGTCATCAGTCCTCAGCTCCCGTCATCTAGTCTGAGAGAGCTGGACCTGAGTCACAACGACCACAGCTTTACTGATCCACTCTCACTGCTCTCAGCATAGCTCCAAACACCAAGACGCTCAGTTGCAAATAAAACGCATTGTTAGCCATAAAGACGACGCTGTTAGACAGAAATACCGTTCATACAAATCCTTTTCCTGGCTGGGTCAGGGCTGCTAGCTGTGGGGTTGTTGACCCTTTCTTACGACGTCCAGCTTTTCTGGAAATGTCCTCCAGAAAGATGTCAGTAACTCACAGATCCGTTCCTCCTCCTTCAGCCATTGAGTGTTAAAAAAACAAAGCAAAATGCTAAAAATATCATGTCAACATCATAACTTCTTACATATCTTTCAACTTGAACTCTTACTCCTAATACTAAGTTCTGCTAGCTGCTTCAGCTTCACAACAGTCACGCTAGCCCACTGACCAATCACAGCGCACGCTAATGCTGACGTACTTCAGAATCCGAAACCATTTATTGCCAATGTATGTTGCACATACAAGGAATTTGTCACGGGGGTGGTGCATAACATAAAACATTAAGCAATCAACACAGTGCAAGAAATGGAAAAATATTACAATTTACAAAGGAATAGGCCTCCTAAAGAGACACGTCAAAGAATACGCCCAACATGTCAAACTAAAGATCTGATTGGTTGAAGACTATGACAATCAACAATATCGTCCCCATTCACTTAAAGTGCACATGGATGCACTTGTGAGTCTGCAGGCCTCGGGCCTCTCTTCTTACCTAGAGACACAGAGGTGAAATCTGATTGGATAAATGTCACGGTTTAGGCTTTGCCCCCTGTGTTCCTGTGTTCCTGTGTCTCTGTCTCTGTGTCTGTTTTCCCTGATTGCACTCATCCTACTCACCTGCCCAGTCCACCCAGCTGCCTTCAATCTTCTCATCACCCAACAGATATATACTCCCCTGCTTTCTCTGTTCTGGTTGTCAGATCGTCCTTGTTCGTTCCCCTGTCTGTTCCAGTTTTGTGTCTCCCTCGTGTTTCCTCGGTGCTCCAGTGTGTCTGCGCTTGAGTCTCAGATCTGCCCCTCGGACGTGACAGAACGATCTGACCTCGAAAGACTCAGCAGACCAGTTTTGGGGAACCCGCTTGGCCAGGGGAGGGCCTCGTAGCTTCCAGAAAGCTAACCGCGAGCTAAGCCGTCCTTCCACCCCTAAGAGGACCCAAATGGACTCAGCAGACCACCCTGAGTGGTATGAACAGTTTACGGGAACCTACCTGGCCTTGGGAGGGCCTCGGAGTGTCCAGAAGGCAAACCATGACCAGATGGATTGCCCTTTCAACCCTCGTAGGAGGCAGAGGCAGAGGAAGGGTCAGACCCCCGTTCCCGCTGGGCCGCAGCGATCCCCCGTTCGATCCAGTTCGGCGATCCGGCCGACTCCGGCTCCCCGTGTCCTGTCGGCGGTCCGGCCGACTCCGGCTCCCCGTGTCCTGTCGGCGGTCCGGCCGACTCCGGCTCCCCGTGTCCTGTCGGCGGTCCGGCCGACTCCAGCCGTCGCCATCAGATCCGCAGCTATCCCCGGACCCGGCCGCCGTCGCCTCAGATCCGCAGCTATCCCCGGACCCGGCCGCCGTCGCCTCAGGGCCGCAGCTATCCCCGGACCCGGCCGCCGCAGTCTCCAAGCCGCAACCGCTCCAAGTCCCTGCCGCCGCCGTCTCCGAGCCGCTCCAAGTCCCTGCCGCCGCCGTCTCCGAGCCGCTCCAAGTCCCTGCCGCTGCCACCTCCGTGATGCAGCGACCTCCAGTCCCTTACCCCGCTGGGCCATCACTTCATCCCCCTGAGCCCTTCTGCCCGTCGGGTCGTCCGCCTGATCGCCTGGGTCCAGAACAACTCCGGCAGTCAGGTCGCCCACCTGAGATCATGTGTCCAGAACCCTCCTTCCCGTCCGACCACCCTCCTGCCCGTTCCCCAGAGCCCTGTGGCGGGTTGGATCCAGCCGTCCCTCCTCCGGACCCCCTCCACCCACCCTATTCGATGTTGGGCCATCCCTCCTCCGGACCCCCTCCACCCACCCTGTTTGGTGTTTTTTGAACTTTGGACGTCTGGAATCCGTCCCTTGAGGGGGGGGTACTGTCACGGTTTAGGCTTTGCCCCCTGTGTTCCTGTGTCTCTGTCTGTTTTCCCTGATTGCACTCATCCTACTCACCTGCCCAGTCCACCCAGCTGCCTTCAATCTTCTCATCACCCCACACATATATATACTCCGCTGCTTTCCCTGTTCTGGTTGTCAGATCGTCCTTGTTCGTTCCCCTGTCTGTTCCAGTTTTGTGTCTCCCTCGTGTTTGCTCGGTGCTCCTGGTTTGTTCCTTTGCCTTTTTGTTTGTGATTTTGGATCTTTTTGCCCGCTCTGTTGGAGTTGCTTTCAGTTTTTGTTTATGACTTATTAAGTAAAAAACCTTATTTTTCAACTTCACCTCGTCTCCAGTGTCTGTGTCTGCGCTTGAGTCTCAGATCTGTCGCTCGGACGTGACAATAAAAGCTCTACTTAAAACAAGCTGCACTGGAAGCAGAGCAACTGAGGAAGACAGGAGCTGTGCAATGAGAACATAAGATAATGGGGAAAATATTATTATAAATTATAATACATGTGGTGTATTTAAGAAAAAATATTAAACTATAAAATAGCTAACTTTGTGATTGTGTTTAGTCCAGCAGAGAAGGCCCTGATGACCCACCGCTGATACATTTAGTAACGTCTACGACACAAATTCTTTGTGTCAAACATGGAGTCAAAGTGTTTGTAGAACATTTTACAAACGTTTCAAGTTTGTCTCGTTTGTGTTGAGGTTCGTTATGTTTCTATAAGATACGTTTGATATATGATGAAGCTTCATTCTGACTGTTTCTTCCTCCAGGTTTGAACCTGCTGGAGATCAGTGGCAGAGGAAGTGTGAGTGTTCACTTTGATTCATGAAGTCTCAAATAAACCCATCAGCTGTGTTTGATGATGAACTGATGCTGTTTCATGTCTCCTTCTCTCCTTCAGATGCCTGTGAACTCACAATCGACACAAACACACTGCACAGATGGCTCAAACTGTCTCACAACAACAGGAAGGTGACATATGAGGGAGAGTATCAGTCATATCCTGATCATCCAGACAGGTTTGATGTCTGTACTCAGCTGCTGTGTAGAACTGGTCTGACTGGTCGCTGTTACTGGGAGGTCGAGTGGGGAGGAGAGGTTGTTATATCAGTGAGTTACAGAGGAATCAGAAGGAGAGGAGGCAGTAATGACTGTTTGTTTGGAAGGAACAATCAGTCCTGGAGTCTGTTGTGCTCTGGTGAAGGTTACTCTGCCTGTCACAATAAGACAGAAACACCCATCTCCTCCTCCTCCTCCCCCTCTGATAGAGTAGCAGTGTATGTGGACTGTCCTGCTGGCTCTCTGTCCTTCTACAGAGTCTCCTCAGACACACTGATCCACCTCCACACCTTCAACACCACATTCACTGAACCTCTTTATCCTGGGTTTGGGTTCTGGTCCAGCTTTGGTGGTTCAGTGTCTCTGTGTTCTGTGTAGGACGGAGAGTCTCCTCTGTAAAAACTCACTCTGCTGACGATCAGATTCAGATCAATAGAACAAAATACAATCAACAAATAAATCACTTTTATATATTATTATGGAGAAAACAATCAACCTTTATTGATCCCTCGGTGAAATTCAGAAATGCATACTTTAGTACTTTTACTTTCATTGTGAATGCAGGACTTTCAGGTTTCACTACTTTAACTTCAAGATCCGTTGAAGACTTTTGGATGAATGAACATAATATTAATTAAAGCTGCGAGCAGCGGCGAACGGGCCCTCGCATCCTCCCGCACGTTGGGGGAGGTTTTTTCCCCGCATGGACCGCCTGACGCTGGAAATTAAGTTTTGCAAATAGTCCGATGCTTCCTGTATCTGCTGCCTGGCGCTACAGAACATGTACAAACATGCATCATGTAGCTCTATATCAAGTATAAACCACATTGTGTAAAAGTCATGTAAATCGGATGCCGTTTGTCACAAAACGCAGATTTCCTTTCACGAGCAGGTGGCGCTGGGAGTATTAGTGGACATTAGCTTGTAGACATCCTCAGGCCATGAGTGTTATCAAGCATGGGAAGTTTGGGACCGTTTGGAACAAGTCCAGCTGAGTTACATCAGCTTCTTTGATGGGGAATCACGTAAAGTAGCCGCCCGCTACGACTAAGCCATTCCGTCAAACGTAAAGCTTTTGATAACTTTTAATCACAACGGTCTTTAGATTGTACTGACAACATTTGAAGTGGATCTGATGAAGTCCCTAGGAGGAGTTTGTTAAAGTATAGCACCTTTAAATTGTCAGAAATCAAGGGAAAATTCACACAAAAATCAAAATGGCCGACTTCTGGTATGGTTTAGTCCAATGGTTCTCAACTGGTCTGGCTGTGGGACCCACCATCACCCCTTAATGACAAGCAGCGACCCAAATGTTCAACTTCTCGAAGTTATTTAATGTAAAGATGGATCAGTTTGAACCTGAGCTGAACATGTCCTCTGCATCGTAGTGTAGGAGCTCTCTAGTGCAGAGAACTAGTTCCTGTCTGTCCCCGTCCCACATGTTTCACCTAAACCAGTAAAACTGCTTTGTTTATGTCTATACATTCGTCCATTTGTGATGCAGAATGACCTCTTGCCTAAATTGGAGCTGTGGTCTGTTGTTTGATGTCATCCGACATGTCTTCAGTTCAATACTCAGTGTCATTAGACAGAGATGTAGTCTTCAGTTCAATACTCATAGTCTCATTAGACAGAGATGTAGTCTTCAGTTCAATACTCATAGTCTCATTAGACAGAGGTATAGTCTTCAGTTCAATACTGTTAGACATGTTGGAGTGTTTTGCGAAATTGTGAATGCCCTCTACACGGAATGCCCTGGTTATTAGGTGTTAACAAGCACCGTACTGCTGCTCAGCAAAAACGAATAAAAAATTTAGAAAAATGTAATCGAGGGGGACACAGGGCTCTGTGTCTCTTGTAAGATGGGCCTGCTGCACAGACATGATTTCTGTTGACACACACACACACTCACATTCTGTCCAGGTGGCGATTTCGTGGTGATTGGGTTTATGACCTACTTTCGTGACACAGAGTTGTGACCCACTTTTAGGGGGACAGGTGGAGGTGACGTGATGTTTGCACAGCCGTACACGTTATTTGTGTTCTGCATTTAGCACTGGATGCATGACCACATCCCTGCACTCACGTTATTTACTTAATATCTTTTATGTTTACTTTAAGCTTCGGTTGGGGTCATCGGACCGCGTCTGCATTCTTGCCCCTTAACAGGCAAGGCTCCCTTAAGGACATAGGCGCAATTTAGGCAAAAGGGTACATATATATAAGAATACCCTGGTATTAATCTTACGCTGGGCAAAAAGGTGTATTATGTTTTATATCATGTATTGTTTGGATTATCATGTATCCCTGTAACCTGTTGGAACATACACTGATGTATATGTATCTGAATATTATCATCAACCAGTGAGCAAGGTGTGTCATGCGTCCTGAGTACCAGCAGTTGTTATTGTGTTGACATATAGATTTGACATGTATGAACAATATGTTCATCCATGTATGACTAAATTTAAGGGGGGTTACCATGACAATGTCATGACCCACAGAGGCACCAAGAAAGGGGGGGGTTACTTTCCCCCGGTGTTGTTAGAGTATAAATATTCTCGGTTTTAAAGAATCGAAGCATAGTCGGGGGGGAAAAGTCCACCAGGTCAATACCTGCGCTGGGTTAATCTTTAACTTTTTACAGATCTCCGGACATTTGAAAACAGCCTGCTCACTGGGCACAGGGTTTTTTTTAATTCTTTTTTGATTTTTATATTTTTATGTTAATCGATTTCTCTCTGTATTTGGACCAAAAGAATATACTTTGAATTGGACAGAAATAAATATGTAACAATTTAACTTTTTTCGGCCGATTCTTTTTCTGCGTCTCTTTTGGGAAATCAGAGAGAAGAGGTCTCCTCCGAGGGGGAGATCTCCCAGCCCCTGTGGTAAGTTGACGGAGATCCAGCACGGCACACGACTGATGCATACTTTATGCACACACACCTAGACATACTAACATCCGTTTTCTATAGTTAAGAGAGATCCGGGGAAGTCCCGCTTCAAGCCGGTCCCAGAAAAACGACCGTGAGCTTTATAACTGTTGGGCTCTGAGCAGGGAGAGAAAGATTTTAAGACTTTATAAAACCGACGGCTATTCGAGCGACAGATTATACTATTTAGTATATCAATGTTTGGCGATTCGGAAAAGAAAGCAAACGAGCTATCGATTGTGCTTTTGTTGGTGATTTATTACTAGTTAGTGCAATTGGCTACCGGTATAAGTTTCTCATAAGCGGAGGCAATTGAGGCAAAGTAAGGGGCAAGCGTGCTCCCTCAGGCCAGGTGAGTGAGTCATATAGAGAGAGAACTGGTCCTCTGCCACTCTCCCCCTTCACGCAGTCTCTTGCTGCACCAGGGGCGCTCACAGGGGGCGACCGGACATCGGGGCACGAGTCCCGTGGATCCGTGGTCACCCCGGCGGCAGCTCGGGTCTGCCCGTCGCCGGCAAGGTTCTCTCAGTTCGCGCACACACTACTGAGGGATCCTCGTTTTACTTTTGTTCGTTTCAAACAAAAGGCCTCCTTTTTATTTTTTGATAAATTAAAAAATTGTAGGAAATTTATTTTTTTTAACAAATTAAAAAAATGTAATTAAATTAAGAAAGCGTGCGGGGGCACCGCGCGCTATAATACGCATAGTGTCATTAGACAGAGGTATAGTCTTCAGTTCAATACTCAGTGTCATTAGACAGAGGTATAGTCTTCAGTTCAATACTCACAGTGTCATTAGACAGAGGTGTAGTCTTCAGTTCAATACTCATAGTGTCATTAGACAGAGGTGTAGTCTTCAGTTCAATACTTAGTGTCATTAGACAGAGGTGTAGTCTTCAGTTCAATACTCAGTGTCATTAGACAGAGGTATAGTCTTCAGTTCAATACTCATAGTGT